CATTCACGAGTATGCTTTTAGATTCTCTGTGGGTGATTGTTGTTGCCAAGAGATCATTCACACACTCATGTCCACAATGACACTCTTTTTCTTTGGCAGCTGCTTCGAAAGGTGTTAGTGTCATAGCTTCGTTTATTTCTTCTGGGAAGTATGTTTTTTTTTTTCATCCTCACGTGTCTGCTTTTGTTGTTACTACGAAATAAGATGCCGTTTCGATTCTCATAAGAAGAGCAGAAAGAAAATTTTCAAGTTAGATGTTGTAAACAATTTTTTCATAGTTCAAACAGTCTTTCAACATTTTGCTTTTGCGATGTCTGCGAATTAGATGTTGATTCTGTGCTCTAGGCAAATAAAAATCTAGTTGTAACAAACAATTCGATGCAACACGTGTGATCTAGTAATTGTAAGTAAACAAATTTAGTCAACTATAAGAGTATTCAGAGTGCGAGTCTCGGCTGGGGTATAGGTATAGCATTGATCCATATCCACACTCAGGTTTTATGTATCTTTGGTTTTTGAGCTTGACTTCGTGTTCAGATCAAAAATTTTGTAAACTAGCTATGTGTTGTTCATTTTACATTAAACTTTGAGAGTTAACTTTTCCTAAGCGATGTAATTTTGGCTGCATCACGAATTTTGTCATATTTTATTGATTTACTCAAATATCCTTCATCTCGATAAAGTAGCTTCTATGTTTCGTTCTGTTCGCTTGAAAACAATAAGTTTAGCATATGCTCTCTCCCATATCTCGATACCATTCATTATAAATATGGATAGCAGATGAACTAGTCAGAGTAATTTTGATGCATTCATACAATATTGATAAGTACCTTCATAGGAGAAAAGTTTTTCGCTGATCTTTAGAAAAATGTTGTTGAAAGTCTTCTAAACATGTTTTGCCTATTTCACATATAAATGATGGAGAAAACTATAGGTAAGAAGACATAAAATAGGAATTCTATGATCCCAACTAGGGATGTTAACGACAAGAAGCTAAGTATGTTTCAATATCTCTTAAAAGAATAATGACGCGAAATGGTCATAGAATAATACAAGTAAAATTTTTTTTTTAATATTATATGAAGTTGTCTGGACCGAATGCATTGCCAAGTTCGACGAGTATTCATTTCCACACTTATTGGAAAACCATGTGATAGCTTCAATCGATGAGAGTGTCGTATCGTTACTATTTTCATGTTGATCTTAAAACCATCCCAAATGTCAGAGGAATTAAATCACCTGTTCATTACATTTCTTCCTATTCTAGATATTATTTCTTCGATGAGAAAGAGTAGATTTGATCCATTAGTACCATTTATTAATCAAAAAAACTTTTACAAAAGTAACTTTCTTAAGCATTATGATAGAACCCCAAAAGATCCAAAATATTCGAATGTAATCAAATCCCTTCAAGAATTAGATGATGATAGTGGTGATTTCCAAGAATTAATTGAAATATTAGCAGAATCTTCAAGTGAACATGATGTCATTCAAACATATTCTTCTGATGTACTAATTGGAACAAAACCATTTTACACTTACATCAATGAGCAACTATATCAAGATAACGACTATGTAATGTCGAAATTGGTGCCATTGATTCGCAGAGCAACTCTTCAAATTAATGATAATGCTCCGTCGCGTTCCTGTGTAGTATATCGTGCTATAAACTTGAATAATTACCACAAACCATATTTTACAATTGGTCAAATTTTTCGCTTTCCTGGATTCATTTCAACGTCAAAGTCTATGGAGAAAGCACAGAAATTTGGTCACACATTATTTGTCATACATATTGATAGTAATTGTCTTCAAGTGAGAGATATATCAGACATTTCATGTCATCCAGACGAGGAAGAATGTTTATTTTCTCCTTACTCACTTTTTGAAGTTGTGGATAAAAATGATGAGACAATTACTTTAAAGACACATGATAATATGCGAGATATTGGAATGAATTCTGAGATTTGAATCACTTGTAACAAGAAAATGAGAAAAAGTATCATCCTTTGATCAACAAGTTTCCAAAGATTCATGTTGTATACAATAATTGCAGAATTATTTTGGAAAATCCAACGATTATCGATAGATTTGAAAGCTCAAGAGCAAATATATTATCACACACGCATAATAATATAATCATAAATAATTTTGAAATGATGTTGTTTATCTTCTAACTGCTTTTTTTCTTTCTTGTTGATTTTAATTTAATTTTTTTGCTTATTTATTTTCATATTCTCATCGAAGCCTTTTCTTCATTCTAATTTTATTTTTGTTTTCTGAAATTTCTGTCTTTTTCAATGTAAGAGAATTTAGCACCTCATTCGAGTTTTTTTTCCGACTGATTCGCCTGCTAAACAATGCTAAATAGAGCTCAACAAACTCTATCCTATTGTAAATTTGAAATTTCAGCGGAGAACAAGAACAACGAAAGACAAATCAAAGTATAATTTTGTACCATAGGGAAAAATGATCACATCTAAAATTTCCTAAAACTATTCGAGTTAGGCTCCGTGCCACTTTTCAAATTTACATCATTCGATGCATCTCGCCATCCTGCATCTGATGGTATCAATAAAATCCTAAGCAAACTAACTCATGAGACCCTGAAACTCTGAAAACGTAAAAAAGAACACAATATTATGATGTAACTGCTGTAACTATTCGTTCAGTAACCTGTGCCAAATGCTAAACTGGGATGTAGTGAGGATGTGGCTGTTTCTTTTCGTCTCTGCAGACACTCACACCTCATATCCACACCCACATCCAACCGAAAATAGAGATAATACAATTACTCGAAAAATGGAAAAGATGATCGAGAAACAACAAGTGATATACTTAACACACTCTAATAGCAAACGATCAATGAAATAAAAATAATGTATATGCCATGTGGATATTAACAACGCCTCTAGGATCTTTCAAAGGATTCTAGCATATTCAAAAATCTACCTTGCAATTTAAATAACTGAAGTATGTCTTTGAATATTCCAGATAACGCATATTGGTTATTCGAATCACGTATTGTATTTTATGTTGATATCACGAAGAGAAAATTTAAACATTTTTATTATACACGTCAATATGTCTTAGTAATGACTCATTATTTGCTTTATTTCTTACACAATAATGTGAAATTCATGCATCATTTTGCTTTAGTCTAATTTAGGCAAGAAAAAAAAAGAATAGTTGAAGAATTCAAATTATATTTTATCGACGAACTGCAAAACAAAATATTCATTGCTTGTGGATACAGTGTATGAATCGTGGTTAATAAACAACAAAATCAGAATTTTTTTACATTATTTGAAAATTTTCCTAATGAACTTTTCATTGAAATTTTATCTTATTTAATTGCCACTGATGCAGTCATTGCATTCTCAAATCTTAATCATTGTTTTCAATGTTTAATTTTCGAATTTTGTCAATCATTTGATTTTACATCAATTAATAAAAATAAATTTGACATTATCTTTCAAGGTCATAACACAAATCGATGGCATTCATTAAAACTTTCCGATGATAATAATACACCTGGACAAGTTAAATATTTTTTTGAAAATTATTCTTTTATTGATAATTTTTCTCAATTACAATTATTATCTATTGTTAAAATAAAAATCTTTCAATCAATATCCATTATTATCTCAACTTCCATTTCTTACAAATCTTGTTTCACTTAAAATTGAATCTGTATGTGGAAATAATATTTCAGAATTTGATCTTCCGAAATTAAAAAACCTTATTTTGCAGTTCACGTGCTAATACAAATTGGCTCAAAGTAGATAAAAAAAATTACAGAATAATAATTAATTAATCTTTATTATTTCTTTAGAATTTTTCTCAAATTGAAACTATTCAATATACAATAACGGATTGTTGTTTAAATGATAAAATGTTAATATGGCCAAAAACATTAAAACATCTTAAAATTATTTTTACAAATAATGAAGATTGTTTATTAATTTAACAGTCACTTACTCATTTATCTCAATTAATTAATCTTGAAATTTATCAAAAAGAAAGAGAAATATCATTTCCTAATGGTCAAATATGGGAACAAATAATTCTTTCATCACTTCCATTATTAAAAAGTTTTAAATTCTATTTTCAATTCGCATATTATTATCACCAATTCGATCAAATTAAACAAGTCATAGCAACGTTTTCTACACCATTCTATGTACTTGAAAAGAATTGGTTTATTCGTTGTGATATGTCTACTCGTAATGATACACATGACATGTATAACAGACATCGAAAATTTGCAGTTCTTTATACAATACCATTTCCTTTTGAAACATTGATCATTTTTAAAATTTCTCCAAAAACAACGATTTTAAATTTGTCAAAAAATAATATTGATCATCTACGTACCAATCTATATGCAAATATTAAAATATTAGTAATTAAAAGCTATACGAAACGTGATCAAAATTTTAATAGAAGTAATGTAATCAATTTGATAATTAATACTTCTTTCGATTCACTAGATTGGATACATGTCTTGACTATATTGCGACATTTAACTATTGAAGATTGCGCAGTACTATCAATGGAAAATTTTAATATTTTATTGGATAATACACCATATTTATGTTCATTATCTGTGAAAAAGAGTATGTTGAAACTATTGACAGATAATTGGACTGACATATGTATATGTAATCATCTATCACGAAAGATTCATTCATTAACTTTTCATTCAAACAAAAAATCCATTACAATGTTTTAATAAAAATGAACTTGAAAAAATCTTGTCGATTTTTTTCTTCAAAATGTCAATATTTATCATTAGGTATTCATTCACGAAATAATGCTATCGATTTTATTTTACGTAGGATGTTTCAATTGAATAGTCTACATGTACATATTCATCAAAAAATTCTCTACCAATTACTATAGAATGGTTAGAACAACAACATACTCGATTTAATCATTCCAATTGTATTATTATTAATAATAGACAAGATCATTATTTTTGGTAAGGATAATATCGATGATATAACAACACACATTTCTATACCAATATTAAACTCTTTTATATAAAGTTTATCTACGATTTTTTATTGTTCAAATTTTTAACTGATTGAACAATTTTATGGGCAAATAATCAGTGGTTGAAAAGTTTCGATTTCACTCTATAAATCAGGGTGTGGGTGGGGTGGGTGTGGGTGTTGATTTTATCATTTTCTATACCCACACCCACACCCCGATGAAATTTGAGTGAAGGTAAAAAAGAGTTTTTCTTCTCATTCTTATGCACACATATTGTGAGTCATTTATATGACGTTTTTCCAACTATGCAAGCCGGTGAAAACCTTTTTTTTCTTATATACTTATTTCGCCACGTGTTCCTTATGAGCAGCTGGTGATACTGCTTCTTTTTCCTGTGGGTTTTTCTCGATTATACTTCCGCTCCTGTTGGTCGTATAAAAAGCGCAACTATACTCAATTTCTCTGATTCAAAGAACTACTTACTTAGGTATTATTAATTATCAAATTTCAGGTCTTCAAATGAATGCTAACTTGAACAAAGAGCTTACACCATCAACAAGTTTGAATGCATATGCAAGTGCTGTACCTCAGGCAGGTTCATCTCATGGCATTCAAGTCATGACTCATGAAGGCATTCGTGTGAATACACAGCTCACACCATCCGTTGATGTTTATGCTGGCATTCATGCAACTCAAACGACAAATTTTAATTTCACGAAAGATCCGGTCATTTCACATCAACAAGTACAAAGAGGCATCCAAGTTGGTCTTCAAAAACAATTGAGTGAAAACTCAAATTTTGGTCTATCAACATCGTTAACTCAAACACCACATTCGTCTCAAATGGAGAAGGGTGTTGAATTTCACTATAACAAACGGTTCTGATTATGCACATCGAACCGAAGAATACCTTTATCATAATTGAGAAATTTTGATTTTGTAATATTTTTTCTCGTTGAATTTCCAATAAAGATTTTCGATTCTACCACGATTTAGTGTGTCGTTCAAAAGAAAAATATTTATCGCTGCCGGTGAGCGAAGAAAATTTTCTTTACCATTTCTTCCGTTTCAGAATGTTCGAAATATGAAAATCTCCATATCGTCCGATCTCATCATATATCTATTTTCGCGAAGCCACTGAACTACCATCTCTCAACACCAGTTTTCTCCAGAAAATTTTGGAAACCTAGTATGAACAATTAGAAAACATGTTGTAAATTGATATAGTTTTTTATAATCGTCCCTTGCGGCATCAGATGTGGATCGGTGACTGCCTAGGTATGTTGGAGAATCTGATGCAGCTTGTCTCACGATGGAATTTGTACATGCTGTCAAGAAATAAGATACTACTGTTTACGTATGATCTTCTATAGCCTTAGTGAATTGATTGTCATAAATATTTTCAAGTTCTGTTTCATACATTGATCGTCGCTTGTTCTTCTACTCTAATTGTATGACTAGATCAACATCAGATATTCTCCGATAGATTAGTGCAAGTCAGGCGTTAGAACATAAAATAGTTTGTTAGTAAAATAAAAAAAGAACGTAATTCATCACTGAGTGGAAAGTCGAAGTGTGGGTGATGAGGGTAAGACTCATTGATAGCGCCCGATCCACTCGCATTGTTTGCCAAACATATGAATCATTATTGTCAACGAATTTTTTTTTTCTTTTGAGTCAAATTACACCTGCTTAAACATAGCCAAAGCGAGCGCCGTTTCTATTTTGTGTTTATCAAAAGGTGACAGATATCCTTATGATTCTTCTGCAGGATTGCTACCTCTGCCGCTTTTTCAGTTATTCTGCCTATTATATTCTTAAGTGAGACTTTTGATACTACTGGGCCATTATTTCAAAATATTTGGAAAATTCTTGTTAATATTCACTGATATTGTTGCGTCACCCTTATATATCATGAGATAATATCAGGATACTCTCTGCTTTTCGCTGGCGAATACAAACTATCAATCTATATTTTTCGTTCAGACTTCGATCTTCATCTATGTATTTCTTTCTGTCGTATTTTCTACTAGTCATCCGAGTCCTACAAATCAATATATGTAATCTTTTGTGCGGTGTTTGTGAGGATAAACAAATTTATCAGTAATAACACCTGTATGAAAACGGATAAAATGACTCATGATACTAACGATATCCCGATTCGTGAAGACGAAGATACTAAAGAATTAATAAAAAAATGAATCGGAAATATCATTATCAGGAGACAAAATAAAAAAACAAAGTTGAAAAAACGAGTGTCCAGTACATAATAGTTAAAAGTAGCTGAATATGAACTATTTTTGAAAGAATATAAACCTGATTTACCATGGAACCTCCACATTATCAAATTAAAACAAAGCTTAGACGATAGTCTGCTTTTACAAAAAACTTTCTGCTTTTTGACAATAAAACTGCTATCATCTTCTATTTTTTATAGGTGAACTTCTGTTTTTCGAGGGTTGAGAAGCGGCAACCCTGCTCTAGTGTAATGGCTTCAAGTGAGCTCTCTAGCAAAGAAACGTTGGTTCGTATTGATATCGATGGAGAAAAATATCGTCTGGCAGTCGTTAATTCAAGCACAGTTGCCGAACTGCGTACCATTCTTTCAAAACGATGCAAACTGTCAAGCAGTACTCGTTTTCTTGATGCTGAAGGTTGTATTTTGTTTCCTGAAGATGAAAAATTAGTGACCATCTCAGCATTATCAACTGAAAACCATTTTGTTCGATTAACAAGTGATAAAAGTAAAATAACTCCACTACCAATTCCAGAAATGAACAGCAAGGTATTTGAAAGAAAAATCGATCTCACGTACGCTCAACCACTCAGTCATTTAAGTGAAGCTCCTTTACGTGAATTAACAATACCTGGTTCAACACCAACACCTTCACAAAATAAGATTACTGTAGCTACTGATCTAGATCTGGATACGTGGAAAAGAATATTTCGTAATTGTAATCTTTTCCAAGCTATTCGAATGGATCAAGAAACACCCATACGCGCTTTCAAACCCGTGTTCAAACTTAGACAATCTATCGATGAGATTTCGCTATTCCATGTTACTGACGAATCACATATTAAATCATACATGAAAGATAAAGAAATGCATAGTTCATTTCTTTCCAGTAAATTTTTTGATGGTGGTGTGGAATTTTCCACTCCCTTTGTTGGTATTGGTGTCAATGCTGAATATTCAAAGAGTAAAACCATAACAAAAATACAGAAAAAGATATACTTAACGCATTGTTTTAACTTTCCACGTGTTGCTGTAGAACTTGATTTATCTTATCTCGAACCAACGTCTCATTTTATAGAAGCCATCGATAGTGTTTTTTCTTTTACATTAGATGAACAAGTTACTAAATTGAAGGAAGTTCTTTCAACATATGGTCATGTTTATCCACGCTTAGTTATTCTCGGTGGACATCTCTACCATACAGAGATGCATGACAATAAAGAACAGGCGGAAGAAGCGAAAAAACGACTGAGTGCTAGTGCATCCTTCTCTGCTTCCTTTATGCAGCCAGCTAAAGTTTATGCAGGTGGTGGATATGAGAAACAATCGCACGAAAAATCATTGGAACAAACTTCCTTCATGAACTTAGAGGCTGTGGGAGGTGATACAACGTACAGTCGAGATCCAACACTGTGGGCAAGGACTGTGACTAATCCATTTTTATGGCGTATCATTGAACAAGATAACTATCAGTTCGTCATCACATTACTCGATCACCAGCGGCAGCAAAAAATTCAACGAATAGTCAATCATGATACTATACCGAAGAGGGTTAAAAATATCGGTAAGTAGTTTTGATCGCGTTTTGAAGCTGTCTCCTATTTCTCTCAGCAACAATGAGTTCTTCTTATAAGTGGAAGAAAAAAACATCAATGATAGTCTCCATAAAGTCTGATCAAAGAGGCTGAATATAGCGTACAAAACTACGAAGCAAAAAACGAGTTTTCAAATTCTAATTTAAGGAAAAGCCTTGTCAACAGATTCTTCTTTCATCCCACTACGCCATATATGTCAATTCAGCCCACTTTTGTAAGCAGTGAAGTGTATAATAGTAGGATATATCTAGAATTTTTCGGAATGATATTTTAATGCTTAAGTATAGTTTCTATATCGTGAAAATTGATTATATTTAGATGAAAGTTGTCCCAATAACATACATCCACGACTACAATATGCGAACATTGATGGTATTTATGTCAATCCAGCATCACCAGGTGTTACACCAATTTGGTACTTCTACTCTCCTAGGTATAATGTTTGGTTTTGGACACCCTATGAAAATTTTGGTGTTTGGATGCCTGTTCATACACTGACAGTAAAATCTGGTTATTACAAAGGTGAACAGCCTGCTCCAACAAATAGGCAGGTCATTGAGCATTTGCGAGAAAACAATCCGATCCCACCCGGCACAATGCTCGAGGCGGCTTTAAAAGTTGAAAAACGTATTTTAAAGTTATGATTTAAAATATGAATTCTTTTCTCAACTATTCTGAAGTTACTTTAAATTCTCAATTTTTTTATTTATTATTTTACTTTGTTTATTGATTCACCCTGTGATATTTTATTCTCGAACAACCTTTCTTCACTCCAACAAACGATCAAATGCTTCTCTCTCCTCACACAATTTTCTTGCATACTATGATGTATCAAGCATCTATATGACCACAACAGAAACAAGCGAGGAAGAGAGCCGATACAGAACGAAAGAACCAGAGAAGAGAAAACGAACCGAAGCCTATCATGGCAAAGAAGCATGACATCTCCCCATACAGTGGGTAGTCAGACAATAAAATCGATTTTCGAGATTCGAACCCATATCGTAGCTAGCATTGAAGCTACTATGGTCCTGCATTTAAGCACATCTTGGATGCCGCACTATAGCGAGCACGTAGTGAATAGCAGGTACCACAGAGGACGTCAAATAGGTGAATATTATTACTGGGGCAACATAAGTAACATGTATGCTTTCAATTGAGGATCTAGTTATATTCTTCGGTTATTATATAGTTAGGATATGAGTAAAAGAGAAAATAGACGACTAGTTTCAACTTACACCCATACATCCTCACCCACATCCACTCCCTTCTAATCGTTTTCTAAGAAGAGTCCATTGATATCAACAAAATATTTGATTTCTTTTGTTCTTAAAATTAAAACAATAAATTTAGATACGATCATTTTTTTTATTTCAAAGTTCTCATAGAATGAAAAGATTATGAAAGAAATAACATTGAATAGAATGATGAATAACAAACTTATCACATATTTGTTAATTCTATTTTGATCTGATTCTTTTTACACATTATTTATGATAGATTGCATTTCTATATTAATATTAATAAAGAAATAAAATATTATGATTTTTTTGTTATCTCTTTTGTGACTCTACGTGCACAATCATGGTGATATGTATTGCGAATGAAAAAAGAAACTTATCCACTATCAAAAGACAAAAATAAATTTATATTTTGACATGTTTATTATTATTGATTTTAAAACAATAAAAGATACTAATAGATGTATCATTATATCATTTTCGTATTTATTTCATATTTCTTCAAAATTGAAAATAATACAAAATTGTCTTATTTTTTTTGTTCTTTGTTAATTTTAAAATATACATGTAATTCTACTATCTATTAGATGTGAGAGAACTACATTCGTTCGAAATTTTACTGAACGATACCCTCTATCTTTTAGTGTACAATACGTAGCTTTGCGCATCAGCCTGTATGATCACACGCTCACATAAATCGCTTTTTATCTGTAGAAAAATAGAAACTCACAGTTTGACAGGGCAATAGGCTTCAATCTCATAAATTTTATCTCTTTATGAAAAATTTTTCCGAAAAACAAATTCGACAGTTTTGTTGAGAAAATTTGAACAAATGTAAATTTCCTCAAAGATAGAAAATAAAATTATGACATGTACTATAGGGTACCTATTATTTTTCAAAAAATTTCCCCGAATATTTATAAGTCTTCTAAAATTCCCTCGAACGGTCGTTTGTGCACGTGAGTAGATTCTGCACCGCTAATGCTGAATTACCGCTGCCAAATTGTTTTTTTCGAGTGATTCTAGATCAGTTGGCTGAATGTCGATGATAGCAATTATAAATACCAAGCTTTTGCTCTGGAGTCGAGCGTTGCATTGTACACAGTCGGATGTCATCTTGCATGTAGATCAACGAGGCACTTTCATCCACTGCAGCCAAATCTGTGTTAGAATTTGAACAAATTATAATCAAGATTTGTTTTCATCGAAAGTGTCCATTGTAATGAGTATATATTAGACACTTCAAATTAATGAAATGGAACAAAACGAGAATGTCGAAAGTGGAACCGAACCACCAACCAACTTCGTCCGGAAGCTTGTTCTATGTCCACTCACAAGGGAAGGTCCCTGAGTGATTCATCACTTTTAAGTCGAGACTATGTACATCATGTATGTCATGAATAGTTACGAAGACTGTAAAAAGAGTTCGTCCCCATAGCTTGTTGCTGTTGAGATAATGCGTTTCTAT